TCATAATCCTGTCCCTGTCCACCGAGAACAAGCAAAATATTATGCCGCATCATTCTGTGGAGACTAAGAGCTGGTCTGGATTCAAAATAAGCATCGCAAAAGGATGGCTAGCTGGCTGGCTGGCTGGCTTCAGGAAAAATAAATCACGTGTGCATCGAATTACAACACTACGCTACGCATCATCATCATAGTCATCATAAGAACATAGTATAGAATGCCAGTCAAATCAACTCAACTCAACTCTATTCTACCTCACCTCATCTTCATCGATTTTCAAAGGGCCTTCGACAGTGTCGACCGAGAAGTAATTTGCCGGGCAACTGCTTCAACACTATGCTTTCTCTGCCACAAACCCTCATCAACCTCATTCAACAGCTATATGAAGACACCACATGCCGATTGATTCACAATGGAAGCTGAGTGACGCCTTTCTGGTGGAAATGAATACAGAGGAGAGGAGTAAGAAAAGGTTACCACCTACTATCACCGATCATCCTCCTGACTCGATCCGACTCGACTGGATCATGCGAGAAACTGTGAGTAGCGAGAAGAGGGGTATGCGCCGGCTGAACTGATGACAAGATCCTAATAGATTGGGATTTCATCGATGATGATCATGATCATTATGATTTATGTCTAGTGTCCTGTAGCACAAAGTCTAAGATCTACAAGCGAAAAATGACGAGTTGACAGAGGAGGTGAGACAGCGAAGACGCGACTTCCTTCAATTCAACATAGAGAAGACAGAGGTGATGAAGATATCCAACCGACAACAACAACAACAGCGACAGTAACAGCAACAAGCACCGATCACCATCAACGAGAGAAAACTAAGGGAAGGTGTCTCCCTCACCTATCTAAGCAGCATCCTTCCAACTACAGGCGACTCTGGCGGTGGCGGTGGCTGTTGCCTGTGCCTATGGCTGTGGCTGTGGCGGCGGCACAGATGAGGACATCAAAGCATCCAGGATTGGGAAGACAACAAGACAGACCTCCATCAATCTAAAACCAGTGTGGAGATCTACTTCACTACTCTCAGCATCACGCGTGAACATGATCCGGATTCTCAACACTAATGCCAGTCAAGTCAGTATTTTTATACGATGGTTCAGAAACTTGTCACATTACGAAAAGCGTTTCCGATAAACTACAGATATACATCATGAACAGCTGCCTACACTCGCTCGATACTGAAGATCAGGTGTCCAGAATAATAAGAATAAGTGATAAGGAACTGTTTCTGGACTGTCAACGAACCAACGAAGAAGCTATCGCTGAACAAATATGCAGAAGAAGGAAGTGGAGATGGACAGGATTGGATTGGATTGGGCATACACTGAGAAGATCGATTGGGGATATCATGGGCCATGGCAGGTTGTTGAGTTGACGTCAAATGGGAAAGGATGAGTTGGGCGTGTCTGGGTTTGTGTGACATGGAGGAGATTGTATGAGGAAGAAACGGGCGCTTCTTGTCATTGGTGGATTCAGGTTGAAACGACTGCAGAGAAGATAGTACAATGGAGACTTGCTACTGAATCCCTATGCTCCACTAGGAACCCAAGAGATAAAAAGTAGAAAACAAATGAACCAGTAAGTAATGAAAGGTATTCAGAATGTAAGTGGTGGATCACTTTAAAATCAGTTGTGCATGTAGAAACTTGTCAAAAAGTGACATTCCACTTTCAAACACCAAATCACCGGTTACAAACCGACTCTATGTACCGAGGTTTCAGCAGCGTGACAGCATAATTAACCTTCACACATTTAGTGTGATTCATTGTTTCTTATATTGAACCTGTATTGGGTTTTTGAATTAAAGTATTGTTGTTATAATTCTTACCTTAAAACCTCTCCTCAACAATATAGAAACAGAAAAGGAAGTATTGATGCAAATGAGGAGGAGATTATACTTGAAGGAGAGTGGAAAAAGCGAATGTAAGGTGTTTAGAAATTTGATGAAACATGTGTGTGTCATTGTAAGCTATGTTCAGCCATATCACCAATGATTTCCAACGACTGAATCGTAACATTTTAAAAGATGCGACTAAGAAGGTTTTCATGAATGCACGGTTCAGACAAGAAGTTTAGAAGTTAGGGGATTTGTAACTCACCCTCGCTTTTTTACTTTTTATTGTTTCACAGTTTAGTGTTTCGCCGAATGATATTGTGCGTCAGTGTTTTTTGTGAATTGGCATGCTTTTAACATACATTCGAAAGGCCTTAGTCAATAGTAATTCGCAAAATCATCAAGTTTGTTGCAGACGACTCTGTGCTTTACCTTTGGCTTTACTTGATGGCACCAGTGCACAGTTATTGAACATGCTTAACGTCTGTATATATTTCAGTACTAAAAGTTGTGTATCTATTTTCGACTAGTGATTTGTAGGTTATTTATTATATTTAAGAGATGAATTCCAACTATTTATATCAATTTTTAATAAATGAATATTTCTTAATTTGCCAAAAATCCTTAATTTATATGTTAGGCATGACAGTGTATGCAAGTTACATTTTATTAACTCTATAATCTGATTAGCGGGACGAAAGTGATCGTGAATAAAACTTGCATATCAGTAACTTTAACATCCCCATATAGAAGTTGTTGCTAATATTGTCACTAATGGCTGCCACCTTGACCTGGTGGTCAGGTTTGTGTATCACAATGACCTAAGGAGCACTGTTGGTTCCCTTGGGAACCTACCATACCAGAATGGTCCTTTGGATAGTGCTAAGACGAAAAGCAGTTGCAGTGTAAACTGCTACGCTATGATGGTAGCGGCACTTTCAGCATCTTAGCCTAACCGATAGATAACAGCGACGTGCTCAAATAACCATATATTTCTGATCAGCACTAAATTTCAGACATAAAGAGAGACATTATCTTACGTACTGTTCATCAACCCCAACTCAGTGGTGGGCGGTATTGCTATCGGTTATTGGTGGGATATTGCCACTCTTTCTGGAGCACTTTCGGATAGTGACCACATGGCGATTCGAGAACACGTATCCCTACACCTGAATAGACATCGTCATTCACATGAATGTGAATGACGATGTCTGTCTGTTGTTACTTTCGTCCTTCATATTGTCGATTCCTCCTTTTGGAAGTTGTGGGCTGTTATCAATTCATTTATTTGATCTGGGGTCTAGTGGCAATAACTCATATAGAGAATGACCTTTCGAGTATAACTGATTGTTAATAATCCTATCAAAGTAATCACACAACTTCCGACGTTTGATCTTAAAGTTCTACCTACCAGCCCGTATCTTTTGTTTTCAGTGACTGTGAAGTTTACCACATTTATGGAATCGATGGTGCATTGTTCTATTGCTTGTATTGGGTGTTAAAGTGAGGAAGAAAAACCGAGTGATCAAGTTCTCTCTCTCTCTCTCCCCATCTAACTATATTACTTTGTCCCTCCTTAATGTATGTCAGTGAATGCATTGCACTAACCAATTGTTTTCTAGATCACTGGCTTAGTTTTTATTTTCTTGTAATCTGACACTATGAGGCTAGATTGGCTTTTTTTGACCTGAAAATCACTGCATAGTATTTTGTTGGTCAAATTACTTTTTTTGATTGGGTCAATAGGATCCTTAAGCTAACAAAGTTTATGTCTGAGTGAGAGATGGAACTCATCAGACAAAATTATACTCAATGACCATCTTAAGACTATTCAGAAATTCACATAAAAGGCAAACTAATAATGTGAGCAGTAGTTGATTAGTAACCAGCAGAAGGTTCTAGGAGTCTGAAATGTCAACGTATGAGGAAAGAACATCAGAAACCCCGACATAGCTTCTCAATAGTGTTCGTCTAAGGTGCCATCGAAATCTGCAAATTCACCCAGAGAGAAACTTTGTTGACCTAGGGATTCTGTCGACGAAATTAGTTAACTTAATTTGCTGAATATCATGAGATGACTGCGGGTAAAGTTAACAGATTAAACAAGCTGGTGGATTTCACTCAGGTTAACAGAGCATAGACACTCAGCTAAATTTACAATGAAAGACTCAGATAGGATAAATAATTTGTAAAATGAAGACTTGGCAATTGCAGTTCATGTAGTGACACAATTATACAATATAGTGGAACAAAGCACAAGTTCTAAACGTCAACTTACTTAGGTGGAGAAAAAAGTCTGTTACCTGATTGTTCTTCATTACTTTAACACCGAATAGATGCAATAAAACGGTGTATCATAGATGCCGAAGATGTAACGAACTCTGCATTCGCTGGATACAAAAAATACGAGTTGGTTGATAGAACCGTAAGACTAGATGTCAGAAGTTGTGTGATTTCTTTGATATATGGTTATAAGCAATCAGTTGTGCTTGGAAAATTATTCAGTACAAATTATTATTACTCCAACCCAGATTAAATAAGAAATATAATATGGAGTTGTATTTTACAGTGGTGTCTTACTCTCATATTCACCTGCTGAATATCTCAGTCGTGACGTTCCTCAACTGGTAGCACTGGCTAGTGTGGGCTTGAATCTATATTACGAAGTAGTAGTTGCGAATGTGGTCTACCGATGAGTGCCAAAGCATTGGAGAGGTTCCTATGGATCGCATTCAATTGTGTAACACCGACTACAGTCATACTGTTTAGTAATTGTCTCAGCTTGGTGACTGATGTGCAAACGTTTTCAACAGAATTCGACCAACACTTAAACATGCCATAGGTTACTTTCCAGTGGAATGCTCTATGTTCAGAAATTATTCCTAGCACAGCCTAGTTACCACTGAGGGTTTTTAGCAGTTGTTAATTCATTGCCAATTTATGCGGTCTGCTCTTATTTTATATGTGATTATGAAGATGTATTTTTGGCCGCAGTGCGAATAGATATGTCTCAAGTTAGTTCACAAAATACATTCAAACTCATTCTTGCTTATGACATTTCGGAAATTTAATTCCTCTTTTGGCCTCTAAGTAATTGTTATACATAATTATTCATTTTGTGATTGCTTCTTATTCCCACCTCAATTTCTGGTAGGTTGTTGCATCCCTCCGACACCTGACAAGATTCACTATTCTATCTTACATTCGTCGTGATCATATTGACCAATTACCGTTACCTAGAACCACAATCAATTATTTAATGGAAAAACAGTGTTATATTGAGTCTTTGGAAGACTTTGAAGAGGCTGTACGCGATCGTCCACCATTGGAGTTTCGTTCACGATCAGCTATTGATGTTAATTCTCATCTGACCATCCGAGATTCGACTAACTTGTCCCGGCACAGTAATAACAGTAGTTCAGCTAGTGAAAGAAGTGGAGATAGTCACATCACAGTGAGACAAGTCAATTGATGAAATTATTCTACCTTCTTACCTGAAAATTGAAAGTTTTTATTTTCTAGCTTTCTTATCCTGTCTAAAACTGGATATGTAACTATTGTTTGTACTATTCTTACTATCACTGCTATTATTACTAGTACAGCTACACTACTATGAATACCACTGAGTTCTTTTCTTGACTTTTCTGAATCCTTAGGATAGTATTGTTGTACCATGTTGATTCATATCTTAGGAATGCATAACCAGTAACGAAGGGGAAAACCGTTTGTTTTTCTTCCCCATTAACCTATTACTATTACACTTCTGTTTTCCAGTCGAACCCTTTTTAATAATGCATTTTTCGTGCTCTTGGTTTTGCTATTTTTTCAACTTATTTTAAATTAATAAATAGAGATATCTTCTTTATCCTATCCTATATATTCATATTTACAAGTATCCTGAGTGAGTAGACTCATTTTCTTATCATTTTCACTGTAGAAATTACATTACACATCATGTCACGTCGTACACATTATTTTCCTACTCCTGTAATCCATCTGAATACTTATTATTGGTGCATTATTTCGTTTTCTCGCCTCTTCTTTAATCCACTGATCTATCTTGACTAATTCAACCATATCTTCTCTTTCGTCAGTCCAACTAGGTTCCGGTTGTTGTTTCTGCTATTGTTATCTTTTTGAGACGTCAGCTGTAATAAGTAATTTTCAAGTTGGACATAGTCCACTTGTCCTTTCGAGCTGACGTCAAGATAGCTATCAACATCATTATCATAAATGTTTACCACTGTAGAAAAAAGAGGAAGGAGATGAATTTTTCTCATGTTTTATTTTTTAGAAAACTAAATTCTCTAATGCTTAATTTCTTTCGCTGGACAAAAATTCCATCCACAGATTACCATTATTATTAATATTATTGTTAATATTTATTTCAATCTCCTTCCTGTTTCTTCATCGTCTAACTAATCAATTATATCAAAAGTTTATGGTTATAATCATTGTGGAAGTAGAAGTAACTTGAAGTGAAGATAAATTCTTCTGAATAATCAACTTTACTGTGATTCTGTTCACTTTATTTGTAAATTACTTACTTATGGCATTGTCAGCATTAAGTGCTCTTTTCCTCGTCATCATCTTCAGTTGTTTTGTGTACTGTTTTTGACGAAAAAAATTTGCAGTCCACTTTTTTTTTATCATTTTGTGTTGTTTTTTTTAATTATTATATGTGTTCATATTTTTGTTGTAATGGACGACGCAAGCACATGTAATGCAAGGGATTGTGTGATAGTATGTAAGGTTTTCTGATAATGATGAATAGCTGTCTCTTGTTTAATTATTTTAATGTTCTCTTTTTCTTTCATACCTTGTCCCATCGTTTTTTTTTCTTCTAAAAACAAATTAACTAATAATATGTAATTTGAATTCTTCTACTCTTTTTTGATGATGGTGATATTTGGACACATTTTTATGACTTCATTGCCTTATAGAAAAAAATGAACATTTCACTTTGCCTAGTTAGATTTAGTATTCTGTTTTAGGTCATTGCTAAACCAACTGTTCGGTAGTTAGGCCTTAATTAAGAAGTGTAACAATAGTGTGGAAATTGTTTAACAGTCAGCTGTTTTTATGTTTCGTGTGTGTGTGTGTGTGTATGTAGCGAGTGCCTATGTACCGTCTCATTCACGTTTGTTTATAATAGTAATTAACTGTCGCTTTCAATAGTTCGTTCATTATTAGTTAAACTACACGAAAACAAGAACCAATCAAAAAATTTTAAATGGACAGAATGAACATTTCTCTTTTTTCTATGCTTTGTTCTTTTATTTTTCGTGTGCGCTAATGTGTGTGTATTTATCTCGTCGTCTGTTACTTTGTTATAAATTGTAAATTTTACCGTCAGATGCTTGCACACACCCATAACTACGTTGTAATTGAGTAATATATTTGTGCTTCTATTGTTGTTATTTTTGCCTTATTGTTCTACACATGATAGATAAATCTTCTGTCTAAATTATAATGTAATGATTTTTTTTCTTTCTCGTGTATGTGACTCGCAACTCTGTGTTACGCTAATTTATTTTCATTTTTATTATCAGCGCCACCCTTTTTTAATATGAAAGATGCGTGTGTAATGCAGTCAAAACAGAACATGCCTTTTTTGAGTACTTAGTTATCCTTATTTCAGACAAAACACATTCATCCAGTCTAATTTATGTTATGGTGGTAATTCGCTCTTCAGTTTACTATTTGCAGTCATCATTGTGGTATGTACAGACATCATGATGACAGTGAAACAAGAATAACCGGGATAACAGAATTACTGTTTATAAATACCTTACCAGTTTTATTTATTTATTACTATCATTATTATTAGTATTATTTCGAATAACTACTCCATTTTTTTACTAACTGCTCTGATGTATACACTACTATTTCATTCTTTCCGTGTACATAAAACTCCCATTATCCCATTGCTGCCACCTACCCTGTCCAATTCTTTCCAATTTTGTTTTTGGCTTTTAATCTATTTCATCGTCTTTCTTTCCCTCACTATTGTACATGATAATCTCAATATCGATTTTTATACATTGTTGATGTGTGTTGTCATTTTTACATGTTGATATGTACCGTAGTTATACTTTGGGACTATAGCTATGAATATAGGGGATAGGTTGTCAGACTGGTGTTTAGCGATTAGGCATCGGTTCTGTTTTCGTTATCATGCATGGTAATTATTGAATGGTGGGTGTATGAGCAAACATATGCCTATTTTGTCGTTCTGTCCTGGATTCGACAGTGCATCGAATTACATGCCAGTTCATATGTGAACAAATCACATTAGTTGTCCTGTTCTACTATGCTGTGATTTACCCAGTTTTAATTGCTTGTTTGAATTTGAAGTACTTGTCAGATTTGGCTCATTCTTTCAACTTTGTGTTAGTTTCCAGTATTTATCAGTCGTTGGTGTCAACAAAACTGCAGTTACTGAACAAGTGGTATTTCAATGGTATATTAAAGACTAGCGCAACACAAATAAACTAATTACTGAGTGAAATATGACTATAATAGCACATCAAAGCATAGTGAGGAGAAAGATTTATTCAACCCCAGATGGTCGGAATCAAACTAGGACAAAAGTACTCCGTTAGTATAAGTGTTTTCAGGATAGAATTGATCATACCTTTTGTACGACACAGTGTAGCCCGAGAACTCTGGTAATGTCAACTAACCAGAATATAAGCCAAACAATCCTAACCCTTGCTAGCATTTAAGCCACAATCTTCACTTTAGCTCGGGTTCATTTTTCACCACATCGAAAATAAGGAAGTTTTATGTATATCCAGCTAGTGTTTAACATATCGTCATTGTCCCACTGCTAATCTTGTATATTAGTCTTCTATGCACTTATTACCGTGTATGACTCCATACTCGAAACCTCTCTGGTCATCCCCTTGAAGTCCTGCTCCAATAGGTCTGAATTGTTTCATTCATTACTGAAAACTACATTATTTTCCAATGAAATATTACATATTGACCTAATTATGTCTTAGTGTTATGACATTCGCAGAACATTTTATTTCAAATAATAGCTTCATGCGAAAGTTGTTAGCTTTTAGTCCTGCATTTAACACTCCATAGGACTATGTGCGTGTGTTTGCATCTATGTGCTATTCCATTATTCTGTCACATGTTAGCCTTTCTTCATACTGTAGAACTTAAGTAGAGCATTTTTATAGCAACTCGCCAATCACTCATAGTATCCCGTGAAATCCAGATAAAGTTAACAATACTTGTTAGAAAGTTTCGGTGATATATTTGATTCTACAGAGAGTTCAAAATTTTTTATCAATAGCAACACAGCATTACGTAACAAGGTTCATAAATAAGCTAGTTGATGATAAATAACAGGCAAGTTATGTAATAATATAGTGAGTTGAAATCAGTTGATAGAGCGACCATCAAAATCAAAATTGTGTACAAATAGAATTAAGCTTCAGTCAAAAGATGATGTCATCAAATAGAAGGAAGAGTTGGATATTAGATTACCAGGTCGACTTTCCAGAAAATCGTGACAAACATATATTCAAGAGTAAAATTAAATGCAATTGGAACAGGCATTTACCATAGGATTTAAGTTTCACACCCCCTGGTATAGTTGCTAGCATCTTTTTATACAGAAATTCAGTTTGAGGATTTATATAGAAAATTAACAGGTTTGCATCTAATGAATGACAACGACAAGAGCTAGTTTGAACCCAGCTTGGTCGTAATCGCAAACCAATACCTTACTTAACCAAGTATACATTAGAAACGTTTGTCCAACGAGCTCCTCAGCACTAAAAAACCAAAAGAAAAGTGAAAATATAGTGATACTAAGAACAGATAAAGGTTCAGATGTTGTGATGATGAACAGAGGAGATCGCTTCATGGAGACAGAGTCGATTCTTAACAATCTCTTTAAATTTAAATCGGAAAACTGGAGCAAAGATTAGATTGATGCAACTGAAAAGCAAATAACAAATAAGCTCAGAGTGCTGCTAAAAATGAGGCTGATTGGGAATTCAACATACAGTGATCTGAAACCTTGCAAATCTCGTATGCCATATATATATATATATATATATATATATATATATATATATATATATATATATATATATATATATATATATATATGGTCTGCCGAAGATATATAAGCAGAATGTTCCTGTAAGGCCTATACTACTTATGAGTGACTCATCACAAGGCCTCTGGCTGACTTGAGAAAAATTTAGAACCTATGCGTCCACGACTGGTCGCACATTTTGAGGAATTCATACCATTTCGTTAACGATGTAAGTCCAATTAATATATCTAATAAATTCATGGCGTCATTTGATATCATCAATACCAACATAAGACCACGCATTACGGCGTAACGGTTCAAGCTGTCACACCTCATATCAGCACATCAAGTAACAAATATTAAGATTGAAAATGAAGAAAGGAAAAAAATCGGTCGAAAGCAGTAGGAAGTAGTATAAGATACGAAAGAGGAATGAGAAAATCCTGAATTCAGTTTATAAATAAAGATATAGTTGGGATACATCCGCCCACTGACATTGATTCTGAGCCATATCACCTAGACTATCGAACCACAGATTTCTGTTGTCCAGAGGACCCCAGCCAGCTAGTCTACATTTCTCTGGATGGCTCAAACCAACAGTCAAGGCTTTCACGCACTGATGCCATTTTTAGTCTGGCCACCTCAAGCTATTTTTCCATCCTACACCTACTTCAGCTAACATTGAGAGACCTGCGTAACGCATGTCACAGCCACCTCAGTCGATGCAGTTTTACAACCTCATCAACTGATTTTCCTCCCACCCCTAAAACTACATCTAACTTCTGCCTTACTGATATGATGAAACCACAACACAAACATGGCGTAATTTACGAATGCAAAGGTGGTCTAACGCTTAAGACCTCATGTCCTATATCTTGAGTGGCCACGTTTAACAGCCATACGGTAGAACAGAGTGAACTTCAGAATAGTACACTCGACCCGTAACTTGACGAAAAATCTTTTACCACCGTCTTTAAATACCTCTGGAACTAGTCCATCTGACCCTGCTGCTCTTCCTCGTTTTAGGTTACCTATAGCTTTCTCTACTTGTGCGATAGTTGGTGGTTCTGTCTCCATGTTTCATTCAGTCACCGACTGGATAATAGACAACAAAATAGGAGCTGGAGTTTAGTTGAACTGGTCTGCCCATCATTCCAGTTGTCTCCGCTATGAGTGAATCGCAGACCCATCCTTCTCTGTCTTCTCACTAACTACTGAACTCATCAACCTGTCCACCTGATAAGTCTAAGTAACTGTTTGTCGTTATCTATCGCTACAGCCTTTTCATTTCACCAGCCTTCTTTACTCATTGTTGGCGGTCACATTTGAGTTGCATTCGCTCTTCATTGTACTCGGAGCCCGCGGAGATGCGTTCGTGCGCATCCATTAATTTAGAAGAAGCTGTTGATATCCACTGACTCTTTTTAAACACTGTGAGTGACGGCTACCCTGTTTCTACAGTAGATTGGATATAGTGCCAAGCTTCTTTTGGTTGAGTGACATTTTTCCTTTCAGGTAAATGTTGAGCCGTTTTCTCACTGAAATCGGCCTTAGTGCTCTAATTGTCTAGCTTCACTTCCAATGGTCTTGTTCCTAAAGTTTTTTTCGTCCATTTATTTGCAGACATACACACTCTCACACTAATGCGTGGTCGCTGTCTGGATACGTGCCCCGGAAAGAAAGACAGTCTTCCACCAACCCTCTTCAGAGATGATTGAGCAATGCAGTCTATCTGTGTCCAACGCTGCTGGCTAGAAATAAGTGGTTATATGAACACAGTTGTAGCAGGCCATCACCGTTATCAGCTCATTCAGCTGGGACTCCAGAAGCGTCACATACGTCCCTTTCTGCCTGGCTTAGCCTAAACACTTATGAGATGAACGAGAATATTTGTAGCTTAGGAGGATGATTTTGATGGTATGTTCTGTGAGCTGAATGGTTTAGTCATGAAGCTTTCATTGTCATTCCACACACCATCATCAACACAAACTTAAAAAAGTGAGCTATACGGTTTTCTATACAAGTGGCTTAGTATCATGTCCCGATGGCCTCGCTTGTGATTGGTTGTTTCTGCCAAGGTCTTTTCATTGTCTCCACATTTATTTCGATTGGTTTCCCTGTTGACGTGAACTCTGACCTTCTTGTTGTTTCTTATTGATTGATAGATTGGGGCAATGTCAGTATGTCTGTTGGTCGCTGACTGACCTGAATACCAAGGTTCTAAAAATTCTTTGTATTTCCTCTATCGAGGAGGAGACGGAGGTGAGGAGGATAGGTTATGTCTGATTGTATTTCATACAATGCTGGAAGCCCTGATGACCTAGTATTTTACTCTTTCTATTGTTTGATGACATCATCTTTTGACTGAAGCTTAATTCTATTTGTACACAATTTTGATTTTGATGGTCGCTCTATCAACTGATTTCAACTCACTATATTATTACATAACTTGCCTGTTATTTATCATCAACTAGCTTATTTATGAACCTTGTTACGTAATGCTGTGTTGCTATTGATAAAAAATTTTGAACTCTCTGTAGAATCAAATATATCACCGAAACTTCCTAACAAGTATTGTTAACTTCATCTGGTTTTTTGCATTTCTTACTGAACCATTTCGTTCCTAATATTGTAGTCTATTTGGTGGCTAGCAGTGGAATCCAAAACGGGCGTTTCGTTTTATTTGGGACTCGTCAACTGGATGTATGTGCAAGCCATAGAGGGATGTTATTTACATTGAGATTCAAATCCAGTACCCATCGATTCAAACGCCATAGCGTTATCGACTATGCCACTAGAGCATGAGATCCATCATTTGTGCAACGAGTATCAGTTGTTGCTTGTAATTTCCTGTTGCTGCACTGGGTCGAATTGTTTGAACTCTGTTGGTAGATGGGCTCCTATGCGGATGCCTTGACACTGTCTGAATATTTATCATATCGTAGTCTATTTGATTGTTAACAGTGAAATCATTCCAACAAAGGTCGAGTATTTCGAACG